GAGAGAGAGAGAGAGAGAGAGAGAGAGAGAGAGAGAGAGAGAGAGAGTGGATGGTTGTTTGTCTCGTTTGTCTCTATGTGTCCCAGTGATGGACTGGAGACCTGTCCAGGATGTCCCCCGCCTCTCGCACAGTGACAGCTGGATATGGGCACCAGTGACCCCTGAGACCTGAAAAGGAAGATGCGAGTAAAGATGTTGTATGGATGGATGGATGCATGGATGGATAAATTTGGAGACTTAAAAAAAACAAACATTAAATGGGAATTAATTGAACCGAACCTTTGGTAAACCAATTTATAACAAAACTTGTGCATGTGGACAACAAAAGAGAAATTGTGATCATCCCAATGATTGTTTGTCTTTACTTGCTGGAGGACCATAACAATATTGATGTTTATGTCACAAATTTTGTAATAAATCTTCAGATTATACAACAAAATTGACTTTTTCATGTTTTTTGGGGTGTAGTGCAACTGATCAGCATTTACTAGATGTCATTAATATGAATTCAAGATAAATACTGGCTTATTCAATTTGGAAATAGGTGTATGGATGAGTTTAGGTACTACATGTCAAAAACCAGCAGTGTTCTGTAGTGTCTGGTGAAAAGATGAAAAAATGGACTTAATTAAAGAGACTTTGAAAGCAAATAAAACATGATTTACTCTTTGCATTCAACACTTCTCTGAATGGGCAGCTGGCAGACACAGGGCTTGTTGAGCTGCTAAATACTCCCAGCAACATATGAATGAGGAGCATGATTGAGTCTCCAATGATCCATTGGCTCACACATTCACTGAAATGGGGGACAAATCTTCTAGTCTGAGTTTACATTTGGTTTAAGCAGTATTCAGTATTACTGCCTGTCTTGATATGTCTGAATGCTTGATATGTTATATAAACACAAGTAATTATGTTTTTTTAAATTGTTCTAATCTGTTTTCTAAAAGGTATGTCTCATGAAATAATGATTTTATTTCAAACTTTGTTCATATTCTTTGAAATCTGCAACAACAACAATTGTCATCTGCTGTAGCACTGGGAAATCCCTTCATTTAATGTGAACCTTGGGGATTCCCCTTTTTATGACTAAAATTCTTGATGCCGTCATTTCAGACCAATAAAAATCTAGATTTCAAGGCGGCTCTCACTTAAACAAAACTAGACTGATGGTAGAACAGGTGATTAGGATGCATTCACACAGCCCTGTTTAGTCAGCTTTAATCAAACTCTAGTCCATTTGCTTAGAAAGTCCAGTTCGTTTGGAGAGGTGTGAATGTGCCATCGAACTCTGATACGAACCAAAAAAGCAAACTCTGGTCTGCCTAAAAACCTAGGTCTCGGTTCGGTTTAAGTTAACTCTGGCGCGGTTCGAATGATCCCGGCACGATGATGCCAGCAGGATCACATCATCTGCAAATAGCAGAGAAAGAATCCTGTGGTCACGGAATCAGAATCCCTCCGCCCCCTGGATACATTGAGAAATTCTGTCCATAAAAGTTATGAGACCCATTCTGAACATGTTTACATAAAATGTGTTGACCCCACTTTTTTAACAAGTAGGAAGACATTTACCACAGTGATCAACATTGCTAACTGTATTTACAGTTAAACACAAACTGAAGTCTTCTGTTAGTTGGCATTTAAATCGACACATTTATCTAAAAGCAAAGCTGCAAGGTATTACCTTTTATAACAGCTTTCATATTTTGTAGCAGCAGATCCCTTTCTTTTTGATTGCCTCTCTGGTATACTGCACACATTTGTAAGAAGCCTTACAACCCAAGGAATGTAATTTTAAGACTGGAATAGAATGTGATTAGAGTAAAATGGGAGAAGCTTTCAGTGACAGAGAGCATCTCAGAGATGGCACTGGCATGTAACAAAACATCTTAGGAGGGGAAAAACAGCCTGCTCTAATTGTGCAAAGCCAGCATGAAAGAGTTTGCTGTGAATTACAACAACCATAAACCACATGGGCATATGCGTATATATTCATATGCAGGCACACAAATATGTACACCCTTATAGCACGACACTCTGCTCTTGAACATGAACAAAATTAGATAAAAAAAACTGAGACTTAGCTTGTTTATATGCAGATTTGCCTGCACGAGGGAGATGAAAAGTAGCAAATGCATGAAAAAAGACCAAAATAGTGACATTTTCAAAAGCTGTTTTCTCATAACAGTGACTAATTCTTTCTTTGTTGCATGCTCTCTCCACATTTATTGCTAAATACTGTAGATATGCAGGTAGTACACAAAAATCTCAGCTCAAGTATTTTAAACACATATTATTGCGAATGTTGTTTAATATATACTGTGTGTTCAAAAAAACAAAACAAAGCAAATCAACAAAAAAATGTAGAAACGTTTCGTCTCTCATCCGAGAGACTTCCTCAGTCTGAGGAGCTGTATTCATCTCAGTCTCTTAAATAGCACCGTCTCAGAGTGGATCAACCAGTTTTGCTGCTGACAACCAAAACCAGCTGCTCACATGCTCAAGAAGGACCATCAGCCTAACAATGGATCATTAGCACACTGATCAGTCATCAGTGTGCTAATGATCCATCTTGTTGATGTAAAAAGTTTCTCAACAGCCAGTGACTCCGCCCCCTGACCAATCAATGACCAACAGTAACAACAAAAAAGGTTGAATCATGTCATCTGGACTTCGTTTTTTTGTTAAAAAGAAACGTTTCGCCCCTCATCCAAGAGGCTTCGTCAGTCTGAGGCCTAGCCATCTGGTATTACCCAGAAGCCACCCTGACTCTTGTGTTTCAAGCCTGCCTCAGATACCCCTGAAGTCTGGCCTTTTCACTAATGGTTTCAAAACTTTGTGTTAATGACCAACAGTGTTCTGACGTCATGTTTTGGTGCCAGATTGGCTTGCTTGGTACCACTGAGAAACAGGGACAACAGAAAGGTACCGGTTCCACAAATAAGTGATAGTGGAAAAAGGCTCGGAAGCGTACCAAACTGAGCCAAGTCGTGCTGAAGGGGAGCTATGGAAAAGGCCTGTTACTCTCTGTACGATTAAAAAAAAATATGGATGTCAATCACATTACTTCACAATAGCACTTAAGACAGTATTATATCCCGTTCCTTTTTTCAGATTATACTGCATTATATATATTTATGTATAAACACATTTGAGCATTTACTGATTTTCTTTCCTTTCAGTTGGAAGCAGTATTTCAAGAGCAGGATCCACACAATGGAGGTGATGGTACCAGCACCAGCTCCACAGGAACTCAGAGTCCAGATCCCTTTGCCAATAAGATGAGTCCAACTTCGGCCTTTCAGCCTTACCAAGCTAACAGTGAGATCGAAGTTACTTCAACGGCTCTGCGATCTAGTAAGTGAAATAATTTAAAAATATATTTAGATCTGCTACCTTTAGAGCTGAGATTTTAAAACACCAGTTTTACAGTTGGGCGTTCCAAGGACTTTGAGCCACCAGATTGCTTGTAGTAATGTCTCATTCTTCCTCTACCAAGGCCTACTTGTAACATTTTGTGGAATTTGAAAGTGGCAAAAACATAATTCTAGCAAGTATATGGCACATCATATTCAGTTCATAGAAGTGTACTGAAAGATGTATCCAAACATTTTTAAGTGATTAAAAGGTGCAAGTTTTGCAATTTTTCACTGAGATTTTAAGGCTCCAGGTTAATTAGCTCTTTTGCCATTTCATACGTGTACAGTTTTGATTGGTATGCACACATACGTTTGTAAATTTGATATGAAGCTGCCCACCATGGGACTCTATGTTTTTGCCTTATCTCATTTTGTGCCTATTTTGGCATCCACCACAACAATGATATTTTTTTTTCTACAACAGTAACACTTTTAGGATATGCAAATATCAGCCAATGCTTAGCCCTCATGTTACAACCCTTGGACTGAGTCTAGGATGCACAGGGTGTAACGCAAATTATAAATTAAACACAAAGTTGATAACTCAAAACCAGCCAAATATGACATTATGTTTACATGCACAAAATTCTTTGACCGGATTGAAATGTTTTCAGATTAAATAATTCAAATGTATCATTTACATGGGCACAATCCATTCATGATGAGTGTTTACATGCAGCGAGCTTTGTTCTGAACAGAAGTACTGACATGCACAGAGTGGTAAACTCTCCTTTAAAAAAACACAGAAGAAGAAATTCTACTTCCTGTTTACTTCCGGGATGAACGTAAACAAACCTTTACTGCACTCTCTAACTGAGCTACAGGTAATACAGATCATTTTGAGCTCTTTCAAAGTTTCTAGTAGAAGTGTGGTGTCTCTCACCAACCAGTTTGCTTCACCAACATGCTAATATTATTAGCATTAGCCAAGCAAAAATGACATAGGTCACACATGCGCAATCAGGTCAGTTGTTCACGATCGGAAAAAATGAACAGATCAAGTGTTTACATGGACGCTGTTTGGGTTATGAATCGGCTTAAACCACCCATTTCGTTCTGATCACAAATTCTTTCGGATCACGCTGAATAAATAAAAAATAATCCGAACGGGGCGTTTACATGATGCATTTTTATTCCGAACGGCCGTTTATTCCAATTACTTATATCCATGTAAACATAGCTACTGCTTTATTCATCTATTGGTTCCAGGCGTTACAGACAGAAGGGAAGCAATGAATTTCAGGGTAGCCAAGGTCAAAACAACAAACAAAAGAATGCCCCTTCTGTCTAGAAAACAAAATCACAAAACATCTGACTTAACAAAAAGTACAATTCCTGAGTTCCCTGGCTGGCCACAAAACAGGAGAAAAAATTGTTAAAAGAAAATGGCGGGGAATCCCTACTAAACTTCCCATCCAAGCAAAATTCTTAAATAGAAAAGTTGGATGGCACTGGATCATTGAAGCTTTTATGCAGTCCACTGATGAGGAGGAAGTGATCCCAGGTGTGTAGCATGGTGTGACAGCAGGCCTGCAAAAAAATAAAAGAGGACAAAAATTGTCCTCTAGTAAGAGAACCCCAAGAAATCAGTGGACATACCACCTCGCATGATCCCCTTATCTCAACACGTCACACCTAGCTCTGAGTATCCAACTCTTACGTACTCATTTGGGAGCCCACTGCATTCTTATATGCCTGAAGATCTTTTCAGGAACCCATAAAGACCCTCCTTCTGGCAGATTTTTAAATATCATATTAGGGTCTTCATCCAGTGTGTAAGGAGCCTAAGATACCCATCTATCCATCCATCCATCCATTATCATCACAGGGCCACATAGAGACAAACGAGACAAACAACCATTCACTTTCTCACTCACACCTAGGGACAGTTTGAGTTACCAATCAGCCTAACATGCATGTTTTTGGTCTGTGGGAGGAAACCGGAGAACCCGGAGAAAACCCACACATGCACGGAGAGAACATGCAAACTCCACCCAGAAAGGCCCCTGGACTGGGGTTTTGAACCAAGGACCTGCTCGCTGAGAGGCAGCAGCTCTACCAGATGTGCCACCGTGCTGCCCTGCCTAAGAAACCTACACATGTAAATGAATAGATGTAGATGTGCAGATAAGCTGGCAGCTCGCTCTGCTATTTGCTGCGAATTTTCTGTTTCTGTTTCGGCCTGTTGATTCTGGACCCAGCTTCTGTTTCTCATGGGAGCATCCATCCATCCATCCATCCTTCTTCACAGGGGGGCCGGAGCCCCCCTCAGCCTGACTCAAACTGCAGTTGGGCCACCTCGTCGGGTTTGTTTGCCCATTTGAACTGTGACATTTTATGGTCTGAATCTTTTCTGCATCATTCATATTACTGTCACTATTTTCAGTTCTCAGATTATCTGGAGTCACTGAATCTTGTTAATATACCTGAATCTGTCCATCACTGCAACTTTCACTGTTTTTGGGTTCTGAATGATCACGTCTTCATTAATGTTTCTCATGGTTCAATTATGGGGGATAATTGCCACACTGTTAACTCCTGTAATCACACATCAGTCACAAAAAACTCAAGAAAATGTCTGATAATAATGTTGCTACTGCTCTCAGGTATTCAGCCCAACCCTGGACCCCCCACTAATTACAGCACACCAAATGACTTTAAAAACGCCTCTGGGCTTCATTTTCTGCATGTAAACGCTCGTAGCCTTCTGAAAAAACTTGATGCTGTGAAAATCCTGGTCAGTTTTTCTGGGGCTGATGTTATCTTTATTTCTGAGTCCTGGCTCAACAAATCTGTAATGAATAATGACGTGGCAATCAATGGATTTAACATCTACCGCTGTGATCGTCAAAAAAGAGGGGGTGGAGTCATTATTTACATTAGAGATACCCTGGTTTCAAGTATTGTGACTTCCAAAACAATTCCAAATCAGTTTGAAGCCTTATCTGTAAACATCACCTTGAATGGAGGCCAGGTTTTAACTGTAGTCTGCTGCTACCGCCCCCCCCACAGCTTCACCTGAGGCATTAAATGCCATTAAGGAATTCCTTGGTAATTTAAAATTCACAGAGGTCTTTTTAGCTGGAGATCTCAACATTGATTGGTGTAAGTCGACCCCCCTCTGTGACAAATTCAAGGAATGTTGCTTGTCTTTTAATTTATCCCAACTGATCGACTCCCCCACCAGATTAAATAAAAGCCACCCTGACAATTCCTCCATCTTAGACCTGTTTCTAACTAATATGCCTCACAAATTCCCTGGTACAGGTGTATTCGCTGATCTTTTGAGTGATCATTGTGTGACAGCGGCTTTAAGAAATATTAAACTTCCACCTTCTAAGCCCAGATTAATTAAAAAAAGGGATCTGAAACATTTCTGTGAACAGTCATTCCTCTGGGATCTGTCTCACTTTGACTGGCATCGTATTCTGTTAACTGATGATGTGAACTCTGCTTGGAACTATTTCCATAATAATTTCATTTATTTCCTGAACTTACATGCTCCTTTTTGTCAGTTCAGAATAAAGGGACGAGACAGCCCCTGGTTTACTCCAGAGCTAGCTGACCTCCTGCACAGGAGAGATCATCTTTGGGCTGCAGCGAGAAAATCTGACTCAGACACTGACTGGTTGAGTTTCCGACAGATGAGGAATAAATGTACAACTTCTGTCAAAGCAGCAAAACGCAACTATTTCTTATCTCAGACTTCCAAAAATCTAAATGACCCTAACAGATTCTGGAAAACAATTAAATCTCTCTCAGGCACCCCCCAATCATCTGACCTCCCATCACAACTTCTCGTCAACTCTGCTCCTATGTCAAAGAAGCACGAGATCCTGAACTGTTTCAACAAACATTTTGTTGCTTCTGGTTCTTTATTTGACACAGTTACTAATGGAAAATCAGCCACTTCACTTAATAACCAAACTTCTACAAACCAAATCCCTCCTACAAGTCAATCCTCAGTTAATCACACCTTCTCTTTTTCTCCGTTCTCAGTCAGTGAGGTCAATAAACTGTTAAAAGATCTTGATCCTAAAAAATCTGCAGGTCCAGATGAACTTCCACCTTATTTCTTAAGGCTGGCTGCTCATATCATCACAGTCCCTGTGACCCACATCTTCAATCTCTCCATAAGACAAAACTCCATCCCAGACACTTGGAAAACAGCCTTTGTTCTTCCTTTGCTGAAGGGAGGTGACCCCACATCACTGAACAACTATCGACCAATCTCTAAACTCTGCATTTTAGCCAAGGTTCTAGAAAAACTGATAAACTCTCAAATCAAAAATTACCTGGACTCATTTAACATCTTACCTCCACATCAATCTGGTTTCAGGAAACAACACAGCACAACCACTGCTTCACTGAAGGTTCTTAATGACGTTGTTGAAGCACTGGATGCTAAAGATTATTGTGCTGCACTTTTCTTAGACCTGTCTAAAGCTTTTGACACTGTGGATCATAACATCTTGTGTCATAAACTCTCAGAAATCGGTTTCTCAGATCACACCATTGGTTGGTTCTCTAACTATCTTTCAGACCGGAGGCAATGTGTTCAACATAATGGTACTTCCTCCAGTTATTTAACATTCAACAATGGTGTACCACAAGGCTCAGTCTTAGGACCCACCCTCTTTACAATCTACATACATAATGTAGGTAAAAACATCCCTAATGCATCCATACATTTCTATGCTGACGACACAGTTGTTTATTGTCGAGCTAAAACAGTTGCTAAGGCTTTCCAGCTTCTGAAATCTGCATTCAACATCATCCAGACAGATTTGTTCCGCCTCAAACTTGTCCTAAATGCCGAAAAAACCAAAGGGATGCTTTTTTCAAATAGGAAGTTGGTCCCAGCAGTTCTTCCTCTGATTTTATCCTCAAATGGTGTCCCCATTGAGTTTGTTGATTCCTATAAATATTTGGGTATCT